GAATTTTTTTAAGTACCAGCAAGTATAAGAGAATAATAATACTTTATAGACAATGCCAGAACAAATTGGTAACATTAAACACTCGTTCCAACACCCACCATTCCGAGTCACCACGGTGCAGTGCAGTTCTATTATCAGATTCTATAATCAGCTGATCTCAACACGTGCCAGGTCGAGTTGCAAGTGGCCACTTCCGGTACGAGCAGACGACATATATCTGTAATTGTTACGTGCCAATGTTTGTGTTTGAGCGTTTCCTGAAGTCAAAGAACGACCTCTGCGTGCTTCTGCTCGCGGAGATGTTGCGGCCAAGTCCGAATTACTGTTGTTGGAGACTTGCTTTGAAGTCTCTACGGCCGACCTCTGCTGAACTCGTTAATAACAAAATCTATGTTCACAGTACATATACACACCGGCTAAGACTGTACCTTCTCCTTCCACTGAGAACATTGACGCAACCCTGGTGGCCTCCTTGGGACAACATAACTACAGTGCGCTGGTGCAGATCACTCAACCGAGATGGTTGGGTCTCTGCTATCTAATGACACCCCGCTCGGCCACTGTTGGAGTGTTGAGGTTGTCTTAATTAGTTACTTGTTGAATATATTGGGTCCACTCACTCACTAAAACAGCCCCCTTCTCCCCCCCCCCCCCTCTCTCTCTCAGGAATATATGTATTTTATTAAATCAAACCTAGATTATAAAATATAATGCAGCCTGCTCTTTTCCATACTATGTAATCAGTCTCAGTGGTAAATGTTTTAAATTGATAAATGTATTGTGTAAAATTGAATAGACTATTTCATAGACTATACGTTCGTCTAGAGGATCAGTGACAGGATAAACAAGCCAAGATAGGCACATAACATTACCATCATGTCACGGATGATTCATTAAAACATAATACCAACTAGAAACCAGACACCTGGAAGGTCCTGACAATAGTTATCGGACCAGGTGTCCAGTGTTCATGGCCGGATTCATCATACGCCAGTGTCGATGTTCCCCCGGTCACGTTCCTCAGGTGTATGTAAACATGGTCAACACCGTAGAATGGCATCAAAGTGGATTGGTTGTTGATTGTTGGAACGATGTGATCACATGTCTCCTTCCAGGGCACGCGCTGTGTGACCAACGTTAACGTCTCAACAATGACGTTACCCGTGTAAAAGACGTCCAAGTCGCAGGCCTGTTACTTTTCCCGATGTTAGATAAACAACGGTTGATCTCTCCAACCAGGGGTGTTCACATGGGTACAACCCTACTATAATCACCTTATGAGATGTTATCACGGGGAATGATGGGGCGGACAATACTCTGGTGTAGTAGGAGATGCCACAAAAGCGATGTACTGTCTATTAAAGCATAAATGTAAATATACCACTTGATTGTCTCATGTCAGCTTTTGATGTTATCATATCACCAATCGTTACATACGGATCCGAAATATGGGGGTATGAGAAATCAGAACTTATTGAAAGTGTTCATTGAAAGTTTTTAAAAAATGTCCTCCGGTCTCAGAAAATCCACCCCAAACTTTATGGTTTATGGCGAATTTGGTAGAGCCCCATTTAATATAAGAATTTATGTTAATATGTTGTCTTTTTGGCATAAACTCGCGTCCACTGAGACGATCAAACTATCTCATGTTTTATAACAATATGTTAGACATGATTATGAACAACACCCTACGGCATACCCTTGGTTACATTCCATAAAACAATTAGACAGAATCGGTTTATCCGAAATATATGTAAATCCCTCGGCATATTCTACAAAGTCTCTAGTTTCGAAACCAAAGCAAATTCTAACAGATCAGTTTATTCAAAAATGGCAAGAAGATAAATGTTCCAGTTCTAAGGGACTTTATTATCAACATTTTAAAAATCACTGGTTTTTGAAAAATATATTTTATTTCCAAACTCTATATATATCCCTATTTTGAAATTTAGAACCTCAAATCTAAACCTTCCGATCGAAACCGGCAGATGGCAGAACATACCGAGAGAAGAAAGATTATGTAAACTATGTGACTGTAATTTAGTTGGTGACGAATTCCATTATCTTTTTAAATGTACGTCACTTAATTCCCTAAGAAAATCATTCATCCCCGAAAATATCACAATTAGGCAAATTTATCAACTCTTAACAAGGTCATGTCGCCTGTCAATTTTATACTTAGCAAATGTTTATCCCTTTTTATCTCTCACTTGTATAAATTGTTACGTAAATAAGTCATCATCATGACGCATGTTTATGTACATTTGTAAATATTGTATATTCTTTGCTCTTGTACCACCGACGGTGGTTTTATGAGAATAAAGAAGTTGAAGTAAAACCATGACGACGAGTATGCTGCTGACTATGCCTCACAGTCCCTGAAGTACACATTTTCCCTTCCGCCCAGCCTTTTCTGCAACGCTAAAGAATAAAATGAAGCAAGTCTGGATTTCCTCAGATTCGGGCTCAGAATCTCCCATCTCACTAAGGCTCATTTTCAATTTGTGTGAAGCCCATTTCTAGTGTCCCCCGCCGTGATATTGCTTGAATATTGATAAAAGCGCCTTAAAACTAAACTAAACTCACTCATTCCTTTTCAATTTAAAGGAACTATTTGTTTCGACCAAACTTATAATCATAGACTAAACATTAGTCAAGGTGCTGACAATCGTGGCAACCCGGGGTTCTAACCCACGAACATAGGTCTCTGGCGTGCCCAACACTGCAAGCTGATTGCGGCGCACGGGACGACAGGGTCTCCCGTGCCCCGTAAGATGAAGAGAAGGTGCCCCTCAAACACACCCATGATGCATTGCAACGTGTCTATAAGCGTCAAATCGAAGTTATATCTGGTGCTTTTGGTATATAATTATATATGTTAAATATGAAAACTGTGATAGCTGCGTCTAGGCATCTCGGAGGAATATATATTTAAAAATAAAACACTCAGGTTACGGATTTGGCACAGTAACCAACTTTATTCAAAGTGGTCAGCAAGCACTGAAAGCCATTTTCTCTTTATGACGTACCTGTTATTTACCTATCCCCTGCCCCCCCGCGTTCCCCTTCTATTGTCCAGGTGAACAGAATCAAAGGACGGAGAAATACAAAATGGAACATTTTGACTCAAGGTAATTTCCGAACGCCAAGTCCCTGTAGGGAGATGTAAATGCAATTTGGCCAATTGGATTTCACCGCAAACACTGCGGGAGTCCTAATAACACGCCCAATAATCCCCGGATATTCGTAAGTCTCCCAAGTGCTCCTCCTTTATCCGTCCACAGGCCGGCGAGTTAACTGCGCTTACAAATTGACTTCTTACCTGAATGGTGACTTCAAACAAGGCCGCTTAAGGAAGCGACGCATATACCTGGTGATTAGAGATATTCAGGTAAATTACCTGTACCGCTCTTGTTCTCTGATTAAGCGCAGAATTGTAGGGCGGCGAGGTCAGACCACCAGGGTGGCTCGGAAAGGGGCATAATTGACCAGGTGCAGGACATTACCTGGTGGACTACCGCTCGGTCCAGGTATGTTCACTCAACTGTACATTGCACGACTTTCAGACAGTGAGTGACTGTTTATGCCACTTTTAGCAATATTCCAGCAATATCACGGCGAGGGACACCACAAATGGGCTTCACACATTATGCCCATGTGGGGAATCGAACCCTAGTCCTCGACGTGACGAACGAACGCTTTTACCACTAGGCTACCCCACCTGGCCTTTACGCCACAGTTTTGGGACATATCTGTTCAGGAATCCCCAACAGAATAAGGAGTTTACCGTTAAACTGTATCAGACATAACTGTGTAGAAACCGGCCTTTCGTCCAAAATATAAAGTTCAATTTCCTTTTCAAAATTGGAGTTTCACAATTTTCAGTGATGGAGTTAGTGAGTGAATCAGTCAGCAGTCAGTGAGTACGGCTTGACAACTATTTTAGCAAACTTTCAACAGGATCACCAGGGGGAAAAGCAGATACAGAGTTTAGAAATCACACACACACACACACACTCTCTCTCTCTCTCATACACACACACACACACACACACACACACACGTGAAGGAGATTGATTAGGGTAACGTATTGGTGATGGATCAAATGAATCATGAGAAAAAACTGGCGAGGCGACAAAATAATGAAGTGGCATAAAGGATCATGCGATCGGCAACGGAATAATACAATGCCCATTCAATAACGGTCATGCTATTATTAAGATAATTATATACGATATAAGAGAAATCGTATGGATAACAACTTCCTGGTTTATTTTTCACAACGTTTCTGGGCTGGTTCTTTCCCCTTCTTCAGGTGGATAATGGTGATAGTGAACAGTACAGTATATATATATAGATGTACAGGAAGCCAGATATGTAAACTGAGTATATACAAGGGAAGAAGGAGGTATAATTAAGTATGTACAAACAATGCAGTGAGATCAAAGAGCAGAATACAATGATAGGGTATGTATTTACAATAAGGGCAAGGGTGTGTTTACATAGCAGAGTGGTTAAAGCAGATTGACTTTGAGAGTCTATGATTTCTGGGTGATGAACCAGGCGCTGGGGAGGTAAACCCCTTGAAACCTACTTGTCAACTGGCATATTTCCACATAAGACTTCGCTCAAACAAAGTGTAAAAGCCGCTGTTTAGAAGTTCCATTCCTCTTGTTGGACAGATAGGATAACAGTTGATCCAGATCTCCAGTGGTTCACACAGATACACAGCGATCGGTGTGTTCATCCAGCATGGACATTGTCTCGGGAAGACCACCTGTACCAAACCTCGTCCAAGTTACTTGTGCAGGTATGTTCCAGCATCAGACACATTAAAGATACTGTGTACCTGTGTGAGAAGTGTGGACGGTTATATAGTGATCCGTGTGTTCATGCTGTCGTGCAGTGTGATAACTTACTCACTGTGAGAGATCAGCTGTGGTGTGAACTGATCAATATTGACCCTGTGGACTTCAGTGTATGGTTCCTTGTCAGACATTGAGATGGTGTTGTGTCTTCTGTCATGTAGGCCGCAGTATGGACTTAATGCGGAAGACTCGAGAACATTTACCAGTGTGTCTGTAAGATACATTCATCTGACGTGCAGAGAAGTCACACAGCACTAAGCAGTGCAGCCAGCTTTATGAGAGACATTGTGTCACGTAATGATGTGACAGTGGTGTGAATATTATCTTTTGCAACATGTACTTTGTACTCTCCCAACCTGGAGGATAAATAAAGAATTATGTCGTCTACTATTACCAGTATCCAGCGCGTGGTCAGCTGATGGAGACGACTTCGAACCGGAGTTATCTACATTCTTTTTTCTCGGCAAGGCATGAGTTGAGAAATATTCCTCATCGCAGTGCGTCCTAAACTACAAACTCTCGCAGTGTTCAGGAGTCCGGTTTCCATACCCCGTTACATCTCGAGACTTATCCATACCAGTAAAACTGAAAGTGAGTACTTCCTGGTGATATTCAAACATATATCTAAAACATTTTATGGACCCGTGAACATCCGGGTTAGAACTGATCTTCAGTAATCCATGCTTGTCGCAAGAGGCGACTAATGGGATCGGGTGGTTGGACTCGCTGACTTGGTTGACACATGTCATCGGTTCCCAATTGCGTAGATCGATACTCATGCTGTTGAAGACTGGATTGTACAGACTCGCCGTCATATAGCTGGAATATTGCTAAACTCACTCACTTACTCATTCATACCTAAAACATTTTAGAATTGCTATTAGTTCATTTGCAGATAAACAGACCAGGAATATAAATATCTATCTGGTATAGACCTTTATCGAAGGGCACTCTCTTCCTCGTCATTTGACTCCAGCATGTGAACCAGTGTACTTGGTGTGTATGTTCCGGATTCGACTTCTCCCAGTCTCTAGGAGCCAGTGATACTTGGCCATCCTACTTGCTTGGGGCGTCTGTCTGTTTCTTCATACATCTGTAAGTGGGTATAACAAAATGTCGAAGCTACTTTCTAAAAGTCTTGTTCACGTTGGTGACAGACGTGGCCAGAAGCCGGCGCTACGGCGTGTATCCTCGCCAACAGTTGCGACATAGCCCTGACTGTATGTCTGTCAGTCTCAGTCTGACACTGGCGCTTTGTGTTTGAGACAGACAAAATATAGAAGTGTCAGTGTGTATCGCCGGAGACCCTATCTATCATTGTTGGCCAGACTTACAGCGACATGGACGCTGTTTCACCTGTGTTCTTGTGGCGTTTTTGCGAGTCCAGGTGTGTTTTGCCAGACAGGCGGAGTTCGTTAATTTCTGGTAATGGCCCCTCTCTCCATTCAAACGGGTGACTGGTTAGAGCAGGGGTGATCTCTGGGCTCCGCAGGTGACATATGGGGTAGAAGTGCTTGGTCTTACAACGTCTCCAAGTTTCAATCAAGAGTACTGCTGAATAGTTCTAACACGGGAATAGAGTCGACTATTATCCCCCACCCATACTGCTGATACAGCTAGTACGTTTATATAGCAGGTGGATATAACTAACACCAGACTGTTTTGTGTCAGGTACAAAACATAAGAAATAAAACTTTATCCTGATAATTGATGTGTCTATTTCAAGTAATAATTTTTATAACTATTAGAAAAAGTGAGCCTCCTAGTAAAGGTTATATCTGTATAAGCTTGTAAGGTCTTGCAAGTTACATCGCTTGTATTTATAGGCTCGTGGCCTCATAATAGTGAACATCTGTCGGACTGTGTGTTTTGTCCTATATTTTGTTCGATATTTTAGTCGAAGCGCGTATAACGAACTACGGTTATCACGAACAACAGATATATATCCCCGTGAGTTCGTTATAATTGTAATCCACTGCATGTCAAAATTGATATAATCGGTGTAAAACGTCATTCACTCACGATTCAATTAAACATTATCAGGGGCCATTTAATCTTATATATTATATGGTATCTGATATTATTAAGGCCTTCAACAAAACACCAGTGTCTATCTAAAACACTGATTGCATGTGCTCTCGCTGTGGAATGTTGGAGACACACAGTTGCTTCCTTTACTTGAAAAGGTTAATCATATCGTTAGTTTGGTTATCGTTGGGACAACGAAGCCAGATCGCCAGGAGTCGCTGGGCCTCGCTTTGTTCTACAGATGTTACTCGTTCTTTGGTTTCCGGTTGCGCTGAACATCAGCGTTCATATCTCGAATAAATGCAAACCTTGTTTTCAAAGGTGATTATCAACATTTCAGATCATAAATTTAACACTTTCTAGTTGATATCAGATGATCGTTATGTTTTCCACAACTGTTCATGCAATAACGACAACAGTTGTATGCCTCTGATCCGACCGAGATACCCCCTACCCCACCCCTGTCTCTCCGACCCACCCTAGGAGATACAGCACACAGCCTGTCCCTGCCCGACACTCGAGTCAGATTTATGGCCCCTGGGTGGGGTTTTATCAAGCATCAGACGCTCACCAGCCCCCAGGGCCGTGCCCTCGCCTACAGGAGGGGTTTGAGGTCAGCCGAGGGAGGAAGCTGACTTTGATGTGTTCTTGAGGTGGCCTTAGCTGACACAAAACGTCGTCTTAATAACCCGGACTTCCTCCCGTAACAATTAGAGCTCTGTCTAGATAGCGTGTTTGTATGTGAGAGATCAGCAGTCTCAAAGGTGAACCTGCAGAATATATTGGCTCACGTAGACTGGTCATTGCACAATCCAATGACTCACAGTCGTCCGTATCCTAATGCACAAGCCCTAAATGAAGCAAGTCTAGATTTTCATCAGGCACTGTGGCTCCTTTTCTATTTGAATGAAGTTAGTTGTTTCTTTCAAAATTATATGTGTTCAGAGACGTCCAAGTTTGATCGCGGTCCGTGACTGCGTCTTGTCCAACAAGGTAAGCACTGGACTTGTCCTCATCACACTGGATAATACAGGACGCCACAACGGGGTAAGAACCTATATTGTCCTACATCAAACTGCCTTAACGTCAACTAGTGGAGACGTTGCCGATACAAGGGGCGCGTTTACTTTGCTCGACGTAAACGTCAACTAGTGAGGTATGAAGTCCATACAAGGGACGGCTTGTCTTAGACTAACAACTAGTCTCTGAAATGAACATATTTTACTGAAAAAGGTTCATAGTAATAAATAAAAAAATATAAAAGATTTGAAAAGAAGCCCTGAGACTTTCTTCATTTTCAGATGCCACAGTTTCTAGACTTGCGTGGCCTTTCTTGGATATATTTTTGCTTCAGGGTCTGTACGACAGACTAGGCTTGTCTCAGCTCGCATGAACTCGACATCAACGTCAACTAGTGAAGCATAAAGCCTTTACAAGGGGCGAGTTGTCTTTTCTCAACATCAACTAGAAGCCGATACAAAAGGTGGTTTGTTTTTCTCGACATCAACGTCAACTAGTGGAGAACGCAGCCGATACAGGGGAGGTTTGTCTAGCTCAACATAGATCTACGTCAACTAGTGGAGAACGCAGCCGATACAGGGGGAGGCATGTCTAGCTCAACATAGATCTACGTCAACTAGTGGAGAACGCAGCCGATACAGGGGGAGGCTTGTCTAGCTCAACATAGATCTACGTCAACTAGTGGAGAACGCAGCCGATACAGGGGGAGGCTTGTCTAGCTCAACATAGATCTACGTCAACTAGTGGAGAACGCAGCCGATACAGGGGGAGGCTTGTCTAGCTCAACATAGATCTACGTCAACTAGTGGAGAACGCAGCCGATACAGGGGGAGGCTTGTCTAGCTCAACATAGATCTACGTCAACTAGTGGAGAACGCAGCCGATACAGGGGGAGGCTTGTCTAGCTCAACATAGATCTACGTCAACTAGTGGAGAACGCAGCCGATACAGGGGGAGGCATGTCTAGCTCAACATAGATCTACGTCAACTAGTGGAGAACGCAGCCGATACAGGGGGAGGCTTGTCTAGCTCAACATAGATCTACGTCAACTAGTGGAGAACGCAGCCGATACAGGGGGAGGCATGTCTAGCTCAACATAGATCTACGTCAACTAGTGGAGAACGCAGCCGATACAGGGGGAGGCTTGTCTAGCTCAACATAGATCTACGTCAACTAGTGGAGAACGCAGCCGATACAGGGGGAGGCTTGTCTAGCTCAACATAGTTCGACGTCAACTAGTGGAGAATGGACACGTAAAGGTCCGGGTTAGAATTAACATTGGTCTTCAGCAACCCATGCTTGTCGTAAGAGGCGACTAACGCGATCAGATGGTCAGGCTCGCTGACTTGGTTGACACATGTCATCGTATCCCAATTGCGTAGAACGATGCTCATGCTGTTGATCACTGCATTGTCTGATCCAGACACCATTATTTACAAACTGTCGCCTATGGCTGGAATTTTGCCGAGTGCGGCGTTAAACAACAAACAAAGTGAAGAATGAACAAAGAGCTACCTGTTGAACTTCAACTTGTATGTCGACTCGCACATCGGCTTGTACATCAATGGGAAGAAAGGGATTTGCATCGTCTCGAATTAATATTAGATGCGCAATTCCAGAATCTCGAAAACGATGGTTGCATTTCTTGTCGTCCTCGAGGTGACAAACAAAGTGAAAGACGGCAACGTTTATCTCTGTTGACTTACATTCCGTGGGGACGAGAGGAAACAGTAAATGAAACTCAAGCCATTGTCTAAATATTCCCAAGGAGTAATTGATGGCGCGTGGGTAACCTACACCATTGTGTGCCCCATCCTCCGGGCTGTCGGGTGGGGGGTCCGGGCAGAGGGTTACTGGGGCGCGGTGAGGACAGGCTGATATAAGGAGACTGAAGTCGACTACAGTGACATTACCTATTGTTTCAATATGGTACAGGTCGTGACCGGCTCTGGGTGCCATTTTGGCACGTGCGTCTTGTTACAAGAGCGGACGATATGCGATTCCTTCCATCTTGAAATTTCTTTGTTTGAGATATATGTGTGATATATAAAAACGAATCCGATACTGTTTTTCTGAAACTCTACCCTGGGTTTCTTGTCCCCGGTAAATAGAGGTATCCTCGATGACGGTGGACGATGGCGCAAGCAAATACAACCATATCAACCAGGGCTTAAGTTACGGAGACATTCCCATCATGTTGACAAATATCCCCCGTCGGCTCGCCTATCTCGCATAGTCCACATTCCATGTTTCCCTTCTTTGCCCGACCATTGTTCCCGTCTCCGACATCGTAAGTTCCATACAGACTTTATAACCAGACCCACAGCACACGGCCATTATTTTCCCCCGAGCGAAACGAAATTTATACCGGAAATATGAACCATAATTCTTCCAGTACGTCAATTCTACATGTCAAAACCGTGAAAACCTGCAACTCTGTATGGTATACACTGGCTTCTTTGCTCACGGCAAATCAGGTCCATCTCAACCTCTGTGGGAGGCGTCCCGTGCTGAGTGTGAGCTTTCGTCACCACTCGCCCCTTTCCGTAACCTGTATAGCTATCGGAATAACACGAGCTGGTCACGGATGATGTGAAGCTCTACATTTGATAATTACGAGGCAGGAAATGTATATATCCCTCGACATCTCCACTTCTTTGATGAAGGGTTAACATGACAATCTCTTAGGGATCGTCAAGTAAATGATAAGACACCTCTCTACCACAGAACAGGGGCGGTGGGGTAGCCTAGTGGTTAAAGCGTTAGCTCGTCACGTCGAAGACCCGGGTTCGATTCCCCAGATGGGTACAACGTGCGAAGCCCATTTCCGGTGTCATCCGCCGTGATATTGCTGGAATGTTGCTAAAAGCGGCGTAAAACCAGACTTACTCACTATCACAGAATAGAACAGAACATTTATTACTTTCAGACCACTATCCGTGGTAAATGAAGTTAAATATTATTTAATATTGATGTATTGTGGTACGACAATTGGCTGTATTTATGTACATACAAAATATTATGTAAAGGATAGATGAGAGCTTACCTAGAGGACTTGTCGCTTAGCATAACTTGAGAACAAAGTTTCCTTAACTTTATAAGTACAGATTTGTACAGATAAATAGAGTACCAAATCTAAAGACGTTTGGTGAACATAGACGTATGGTGACAATACGTCACTTCCTACATGCGTAAAGGACAATGCTAAACTGCTGTCACTGAGCACATGGGAGCGGCAGCAAGACACGCCATGAGCAAGTCTGATGCCGGGGTGACGTTAGGGAAAGTCTGTCATTGATTCATTTGAGAAGATAGTTCACACTATACCAAAGGAACGATTAGCTTCTAAACGGTTTCCCTCACACAAAATTCCGACATAAACCTACGGTATAGTATTCCGTTGAAAGAACATCACCAGATGCAACACATCTATGAATAATGTGCACCTAAATTCACAGTCTGAGATTTACACTGTCTTGTGTCTAGGCATGATTTTTGGGGGGTCCAGTCAAACTGTATATGCATCCATTTAATCACATCTCCTCATCTGCAGAAGACCAGTGAAGATCCGGGTTAGAATTGACCTGCAGCTACCCATGATTGTCGTAAGAGGCGACCAACGGGATCGGTTGGTCAGGCTCGCTGACTTGGTTGACACGT